ATCACATGAACATAATTCTCGAGAAGAAACATTTCGAAATGAATTAGATCAATTAGCAACTGAAAAAGAGTAGGTCTATGACAATGTGAATTGTGTTTTAACTAATATTTTTGTTTAAAGTTCATTTTGGCAACAACGCATCGATGAAGCATGTAATCGTGTACGCGAACAATGTTCAATTGATCAAAATCGAAAAGAATTATTGTTAAAAAATGAATTTGATGAACAAATAATTGATTATAATAATCGATTAGAAACATTATCAAGTCAAAATAATGATTTTTTAAAAGTAAGATGTAAAGACAATGACTTTTCCATGATTAAACATTGTATTTATTCTTATAGAGACTCAATTCACTTCAAACAGATTCATCAGCTCAGTTAGAAGATGCAAATACCAAATTACAGATATATGAAACTGATCTTGCTAGTGAGGTAACATGATAATTTAAATAAGTTACTATTTTTTAAATAAAAATGCTTTTTATTGTTATAGCGTGAAAGACAGATGGAATTATTAAATATGATATCATCAAAAGATGAACAATTACTTCGATTTGAAAAAGAAAAAAATGATACTATCAAAGATCTATCGTATGTTGAATGAGAGAATTTTCTAATTTAAATAATGATCGTGTAATAAAACGATGAATTGAGCATGTATATATTTACTCTTTCATGATATAGGTGACGAGGCACTTTGAAACCTTGTGAGATTCTTCATTTTTTCTCGCTCAAAGAAATTATAGAATTTTAAGAAAAATTCTCGTCTGAGCTAGTATGGAATGATTTATTTGCAGGTTAACACAAGATTAAACAGTTAAAAAAACACAAGAACTATTCTCCGTTGACTAAGCTGTTCTTTATTCATATAGGAATCTTTCACTTTTGAATATCTAAAACTCCTAAAGACTTTAACTGAGAAAACTTAATTTTTTTTCTCGCAAATCTAATGAGTCTCAAGCCCATCGAGTCTCATGTCTCCGGTGCCTAGGCCTGATGAGAAAAATTATGTTCTTTTCTATATGTTGTAATAACTTTACATGTTTTTAGCGGAGAAGTTGACATTTACAAAGAACAAGTAAGACAGTTTTCCATAACAATTGTTCAATTAGAAAAAAATTTATTAGACGAACAAGAAAAACGACTTAAATTACAAGATGATGTTGAACAGTGTAACAAACAATCAAAAGGTAAATAGAGAAGGAAAAAAAAGAATATTTCAAATATCATATACAACTTCTCTTATTGTTTTAGAAACGTTACAATCGCAGTCATACGAAACAATGGTGCCTGTCATTCCTGTTATGGCATCATCTGATATAAAGTATATATCAATAGTCCTTAAAATTTCTTTAAATCAACTATTAGATAGACAATGTCTTCTTTTTTCTAGTCATGAATTATTTGCCTGTAAAGCTCGTATACAAGAACAAGATCAAATTATTATATCATTAAGACGTGATTTATCGGGTGCTTCAGCACGATTATCCGATGTTCAAGGTGAACTAAGTGAAAAACAAAAACGTCAATTAGAAAAAAATGAAACATTAATTCGAGAACAAACACGTGAATTAGGTGATACAAGATCAAAATTATCAAAATTATCCGATATTGTTGATAAACAATCACATCATATTGAATTATTACAAACAGATTTAACGTTAGTTTCTAAAATGTCAATATATGATGCATGATACATATAGTTCTTTGTTGTTGTTGTTGTTTTTTATAGAAAATCCAAGACACTCTCAAATCAATATCAATTATTAGTTGATCAAAAAGAAGCTGAAATTGAGCGATTATCTAAAACAGTCGATCAAAAAAATGTCTGTGTTGACAGAGTAGAAAAACATAAAGATGAAGAAGTAAGAAAATTTTTTTATATTATATTGCGTTTAACAAATCTTTAAGATTACCGTTCACTTAACATAAGATAAAAATATATCCATTGAATATTTTCGGTAACTTTATTTGTAATCGAGTTTGCTCAATATTTTTTTTTTGTATTTATAAACTGCAATCAGAAGAGTCTCGTCATTAATAAAAGCTGAAAATTTTCTTTTCTTCACTCAATTGAAAAGCTTTATATCAGCTAAGAATTCTTCAAGACCCTGCCTTCTCCCATCAGAAAGTTAATTTTTTCATGAATAGTTAGTTGATTTTAAGTTTTTATACATGAGTAGATAGGCTGAAGTATTTTCTTTTGACATCTGCATTGCCGTTATATGCTACCATTATTTTTCTGTAAGATTTTACAAAATTTCTCAAAGATCCAAGTTACACGATCCTTAAAAATTAGTAAAGGTTTCACTGTAGGCTGAATTATTTACAAATCAACCTCTTCAATTGAAATATAATATGTGGAGCAAAGGGTTTTTGTAGAAGTCCCAAAATGTACACCGATGAATAAACACCGTGTTTTTTCTTGCAGTTTCGGCGTTAGAGTTTCCATAAGGTACGATTTTCTCAGAAATGGTGCAACATAGTCCGATGAATGTTGTTTTGTATGAAAGCTAAGATGTAAAGACAAAAATTATTCGAGGCGATTTCTGAATTTGTTTTCCTTTGCTGGGAAATACTAATATTATTTGTTATAATGTAATTCAGTAAAGATAATAACAATCGTATGCACACAACAATTATTGATTTTTTATTTCAAAAAAATCTGAAGCTTTTGATTATGAACTATGGTCATCATCAGCTATAGTTTACAATAAAAAATACACAACTATTCAGTCTTTTTTATCTCATTCTTATTTTTCACTTTTCGCTTTTCACGATTCACTCACTTTTTCTTTTTGTTTCTATGAATATATGTTGAATATTGCAATGGGGAGAAACAGGAAAATATCGAAATTTGTTTATTGCAGTGTTCAACATATATTCATAGAAACAAAAAGAAAAAGTGAGTGAATCGTGAAAAGCGAAAAGTGAAAAATAAGAATGAGATAAAAAAAGACCAAATGTGTATAGTTATGCGTTTTTTATTGCAAATTATAGGTCATGATAACCATAGTTCGTAATCGAAAACTTCGGATTTTTTGAAATAAAAAATCAATAATTGTTATGTGCATACGATTGTTATTATCTTTGCTGAGAAATTTCATTTCTTTAATATAAAAAAACACCTTTTTAGAGTTTTGACTTATACACTACATTCCAGTCAGTTATGGACCGGCTTGACCAAGTAACTCTGCTACCGCATTGTTCTTTCGTAATGTTTTTTCTGTATTTTGTTTCTTTCATACTTTTCGAACAAAAGCAGATCCAGAGCTCTACAATGTCGTAAAGCGAGCTTATAGCATAGTCTTCTTATCTAAGAAGCTGCAACTCTTGAAAGTTTTATATAAGTCGGTGGCAATATGTAGAAGTTTTTTGTATGGAGGAATTTCCCTATTCAAAAACTTTGATTGAACAGGAACATTTAAATACTCATTCGTTCTGACTCTTCATAATCAAATTTTTTTTTGGTCATGGATATGACGTCAACCAATCAGATTTCGTTCCGAACTTTGTTATAGATTTTTCGATTTACAGAACCATTCATTTCTTTAAGCATATATTTCTGTAATAAGTTGATTGGAAGCTCAAATGTCTCCGTTCATTTCGATGAAACGACTACTCTGAAGACAAGTAGCTTTAAAAAGATTATGTCAGTTTTTCTACCGAACTTTATGTTCAATTCTCAGCTTTTTTTAGTCAATTATTTTCATTTTATTATTTGGTTATTGGCAGATTATAGAACGCATATTTTGTTGATTTGTAGCACGGTCGTATAACTCACGAATTAGTTGCTGTTGGTGCCCAATGTAAAGGCGAACGTCATGAACAAACAATATCGAGACAACGTGAAGCTCTAAATGAATTACGTGCTCGAATAAAAACTCTTGAACAATTACGTCCAGCTAATCCTCCATATGAAAAAGTTTTACAACAAGTCATACTTTTGAAAAAAGAACTGGCTGAATTAAGAGCAAAACAAGCGTTACCAACCAATATGCCAAGTTTAACATTATCTTCATCATCACAACAGTCACAACAATATCAGCGAACATCGCCCAATGATGATATACAAAGTGCCGAAATTCAAAAAATAATTGAAGAACGAACAGCACATGCCGATACTATGAATGCATTACAAACTTGTGAAGAAATGGTAAAAGTTTGAAAAGATAGAATACAAAATTTTTTTATTACAATCTAATCTATTTAATTTTTTTCGATTTTTTAGAATAGTACATTAGTGAGAAAATTAGCTCAGTTACTAGAACTGGATGATGAAATATCGAATGTAACACCATTAGCTACTCTGAGCATGAGTGAACGTTATGCTGGAGTGCAACAACGGCAAAGAGCAGCGGATATGTTAACACAAAAAATTGAAGTATAGAAAAAAATTTTCTTATCTTGTTGGATAAAAACTTACAAAATATATTTTTGTTTAATTTAAAGATGCTTCAAGATCGTTTATCTAGAAAAGAAGAATTATTACGAGATTATGAAAAAGATCTTGGCAAATTGAGACAAGCTGAAATACTGATTAAAGAAAAAAATATGTTACTGCAAGATCTTGAGGTACATAACATAGAAATATTATTCTAAAATAAACTTGTAAACACTTATTTACCATTGTATTTAGATTGGTAAACGAACCAATGAAGATGAAGCTCTATTTTTACGTAATACATTGAAAGAAACACAAGATCAGTTAAACCAAGAAAAACGTGTTAATACAGCGATCAAGTTAGGAAGAGTAAGAAGATATGAAAATCAAATCATCGTCATTATCTTCGACGTGTGTACCTTTATCTTTTAGAATATTGATAGAGATCATTCAAGCGATTTAATTCGTCGTGGTGGTTCGAGTCACTCAATGACTACATTACATCATCACAGTGCACCCGATGTTGAACCAAAAATAAAAACAGTCAAAAAAGAAATGAATCAAAAAATAGCAAGAAAAGATTATGAAATTAAAACACTAAAACATGTAAGCTAACTTAAGATATCTACAAATATTTAGAATGCTGGCGTAAACATCTATTTTTATTTTTACTCCCATCATTGAATAGTATACAGTATCTCTTTTATGTGAGACAGAAGAAAAGTTTAAATTAATCATGAAAACGTATGAGAAGGAAAAACGTGCTCAAAAATTACACACTCACTTTTCACGAAGAAAAAAATGTTCACTCAAACTTTTTTGTTCAAAAAATCAGTTTCAAGTCTCATATATGTCATTCAATCTAGTTTCATTTGCTGATCTCAAATATGTCATGAATTTTGCTTGGAAATTTATGAGAAGTGGAAAGGACACATAAGTGAAATGACTAGGATGAAAACGGCGTGTATAATCTTCCTGGCAAAGCTTCATCTACGTTTTTTCTCCTCATAGGTTTTCATGATTGTGAGGTTTATTGAATGCTGATTCTACAGTAGAAAGTGCGACTCTTAGTAAAAGGTTTGCGGGATCATCTCAGTCCCGGTTTCATTCCGGTCCCGCGAGACTTTTTACGGGACCGAGACCTAGAGATCTGCGGGATGGCTAGGACCCCGTAGGACTTTTGATGCGACCTGGACCAGGTTTTTTTGAAAATAGTCGTATATGGAGCATAAAAATTTCTTAGTTTCTATGCTTGTTTGTATGTAGACATCAGTTCTGCAAGAAAGAACTCATAGAAAAAATTCTAAAAGACATCAATTAATACCACACCCGCATTCTGTTTCATGAGTCACATTACAACGCGCTGACTTTCAAACTATCAGCGCTACTTTGAAAAAATATTTAAGGAACCACGGGACCGGGACCGAAACCAAAAAATGTTTTTCTTCACGGAATCGGGACCAAAAAAGTTTGGTACCGCAGGCTTCTACTCTTAGTTTCTCATTCTCACTCCGTTACATATGTTTCAATAGTGGATGCTCGCTCTCAATAAATTATCGGAACCCCACTATAGTTAACCTTCATACCTTGATTGAATAGTTTACAATCGTCGAAGAGTATTTGATGCCAGTCTGAAGTCGAAATGACGTTCCTAGAATGAGTTATGCATTTTTTTCGGAAAAGACCTCATATTTCAACGTCTCTTTTTCCAGAACCTCGATCGTAAAATAGCTGTCTTTCAATAACCATTAATAACCACTTCATTAAATTCATATCATAGATAGAGGAGGATCGGGGCTACATTTTCGCAAAGAGAAAAAGTTAGTATTTTACAAATAAAAAACGAAACGATTATATCTCACGAACCATTGTGCAAAAGAGGCTCATACTTGTGAGATGATCAGTATTCAGTGAAAGCTATGATCACACAAAATTAGAAGTCACCATGGTTCTTGGAGGTGTTACAGGGGGTGATCTTACTCTTGTGAACTACTGTATTTCTTCTAATTACAATATTATTCACTAAAACTTTTGTAGGAATTACACGAAGCATTAGATACTTTAACTGAACAATCTCATCGTGTCAAATTGATGGAATTACAGTCTCGAGTATGTCACTTCTGATCATTTATTTTAAGTTAGTTAGAAAATGTAATTATTTATTTTGTAGGATGCATCTCACGAATCTTAATTGTCATTTGTACAGTTATTTAATTAACTCCTATAAATTCTTCTTGTGTGATCTTCTTCATTTTTCTTCTTTTTTTTTTTTGCTTCAGATGGTTGGCTTTTTTTGTGATTTTAAATGTGTCCGCTTTTTCATGTTTTGACGACATATTTATAGCAATAAAGAAAATTTGTAATTTTTGATTTTTTCTGTTTTAATGGGTGATATGATCTTAGTTTGATATTGCTTTAGAGTAGTATACGTAAAACGAGACAGTGCAGTTTGTTCAGCTCGTAAGAATTTAGAATTCATTTTCATCTCAATTAGGAATAAAATTTCTTTTTTGTTCTATCACCGTTTGCACCTGCTCTTTAGATGCGTTTTTCTGTAACTAATGGGATACGACAGGATAAATGATCCTCACAGTATTTTTCAAATAACTCGTTTATTTTTGATTGTGATTTGAAGTTTTTTTAAAAAAATTGGCCCTTTCATTCTCTACAAAAATCATATTGAACATTTTTTATATATCGTAAAAATAAAAGAATATAGACGAAATAATCTCCATTATTTTCTAACACAAGACACGCTTTTTCAATTTTAGTCCTATATATTTTGCGATATAGAGTGAAAGACGATGGCCATTTTGTAGTCCCTGAAGGGCTCTATAACTGAGTATATTTAAAACTCCTCATAATCACAAGCGAGAAGAAATTTTTTTCTTTTGTCAGTTTTATTAAAAATCGTCATTTTCAAACTACAAATTTGGGATACCCAGGAAAATTTATATAAATCGGTAAAAATCGAACGTGTTAAGGTCGGACTTGCCTTATCTTAAAGCAAAATAGCTCTTCTGTTACATCCGACCAGAGAACGTTCACTAGCTCCATTTCTTTTTCAATACCAAGGTGAAAAGGTTGAAATTTTCCTTTTTTTGGTAAAAACGCCTTTTGTGTCAGAAAAACACGTTCAAAGGAAACTCCTTATACACGAAAAGAATGGCGACACTTCAGAGCACCAGAGTATACGTTTTGATTCCACTTTTATGCATGGCACCATGCTTAAAATAAATATTTTTTCGTTGTATTTTGTGTTAGAAAATAACGGGTATTGAAGCTGTGTAGTATTTCGTCTATATTCTTTTATTTTTGCGATATATACTTATTCATTCTATGTCAGTTTAAGAAAAATGGTATTTCTGAAAAATCTAGTATAAAGTCAGGGTAAACTCTGACATTAACAAATAATCAATGGACAACTGAAACAAAATGGTAGATTTTTGTTCGGCAACAACCATATCATCAATGAGAAATAGTTCATATTTGAACATTTCATTTGTGAGAGTGCTCATTTTCCTGTAGAATTAATAGATACACTATAGGACAGTACAATGTATCGACATTCAACATTGATAACTTATCAGCTGATTGTAAGATGGAATGAGAAAGACGCATAGAAGAGTATAATACCAAATAGAATATGGTAAAAAATTCAAATCATATAATTTCGTAATTTATTTTTACACTAATCTATTACTTCATCTTGTATTTTTCTAATATAGAACATCACTATTTGATTACAGGTGATTTTATCAGTAAGATCGTGTAACAGTCTACAGGAGCACCCAATAAAAGAGTAACATCTGAGAGGAACAAGTGTAGCAGATTCGATCGTGGATTGAGTTTCATCAGTTAAAAAAGATTTTTAATGAAGAAAAAAACAAACATAACTAATCTGAACTAAATATTCTGATAGTGCTATTAACTTTTCAGACGTCATAGATACAATTTATCCTTTTCTCCTCTAATAATAATTATTACTTAATTAAATAAAGACCTGTCTTTTCCTTCTTTTTATTTAAAAATTGAGAAAAGAACAATAAATAGTGTATCTTTCAATATTATAAAACGAAAATTTTAAACAAAAAAATATAAATAAATTAAGGACGAAAACTTTTTCCATAATTTCTCATTGCCTTAAATGGAAACTTTTTATCATGTTCTTTAATACATTTTTCAATTAATTGTAATGCATGATTTACTTGTTGTTTTGTACCTTTAATTGATAATGGATAAGTTTTAATTGTCTTACCCGGTTCACATAGTATCCCGGCACCACTCTGTGCACGTATTTGAGCTAAACGCATACCATGCGGACCTAAAAGTAATTTTCTAGTAGAAAAATATAAAAATAATTAATTCTAATGACATATTTTTTTTTACCTAAAATAGCTCCAAATTGTCCATGTGATATTTTAAACTCTTTTATAATAATATCCACACCACATATTTTATACCACTTATTTTCATCATCTTCAATTGTCATACCATTCCATGCATCTAGAGCTGAATAAATTTTAACTTTCTTCTCAATATTTTCCTTCCATCCATTATTTTTTTCCGATTGTTGATATTGTACATCATGTTCATATGTGATACCATCGTTAAATCCACCATATTCATTGGCTTGTTTTGGATCATAATTTTTCGGATCATACAACATTTTTAAACCTTTTAATGGTGTTTCATTGATATTATAATAAATTTCATCAAGACAATTTAAAATTGTTGATTTTGAACCATGTAAATAGAGAACACGTTCTGTAGATCGTGGACAACAAGATGGATATACTTTGATTGTATCTAACAAATATTTATCTTTTAACATTCGACTACGATCACCTAATTTACCAATAATCTAAAAAAAAACAAAAAATGATACCTCAAAAGATGACGAGGATTAGAAATCGAAATTTTTTAACTTACAAATGGTGCATAGGATTGATGAATAAGTACATATAATTTACAAATATCATTTTCATGTGAACAATCAATCGATAATATTTCTTCAATAACATCAAGATGATTTTCACCTTAAAAAAAATGAATTAAAATGATTTTATTATTTGATAGAACATAAATTGCATAAATGTCAAAAATTACCGCTAATTGTTAATACTCGTTCTGGTCCACCATTATTGGATATTTGTATAAATTGATTATACGCTTTTGTATTAATTATTTTATCAACATTATCTTTTGGAATTAATAATCGACAGAGAAAATCATCTTGTATCTGTTTTTCTTCATTTTGTTGATTATCACCATTATAATCTTCTGCTTCGATTAATACACTCCCATCACCTTTGCACAATCTAATTTGTCCACGAATTTTTAATTCTTTACTTTCTAATTGATATGATAAACATTTTAATAGAGAAATTTCACGTTTCATTTGATATAATTTTATTTTTAATGATTCAACATCTTTTAATGTCTGACTAAATGAAAAAAATTAAAGAAAAATATTTAAAGATAGTATTCAATTTTTAATATGTTTACTTTGTTATTGGCATAATTAACAATTTTTCTAATTGTTTTTGTATAGAATCACTTAAAATTGTTTGAATCATTGTTTTAAATTCTACTAATTGATTAAAACTCACAGCTAATTCACATAGTTTTTCATTATGTTGTAAATTAATTTGTTGTTCCATGGATATTTTCCATTTTCTTAATTTTAAACGAATTTTATCGTGTAAATGACTTTTATTTTCAAATAATAATTCAAGTGATTTACTTTCTTCATTTGTACGATCGGTTAGTTGATGTACAAGTACACGATTTTCATTGACTAAAGGTTGAGAAAAAAATGACTTTTTTTTGTTGATACTGTTGGATGTTATATCATTAGATTTGTCAACTATGGTGGAATCTACTTCTAGTATTGGAGTAGAAGCTATAGGAGATGATTTGGACTCTTGCTGTTTCGCAATGGAGAGAGTAGGAGTAGGCGTGTTAGGTAGCGACGAAAAGAGAACACGAGTTTGAAAATGACTTGCGGATGCCATATTCCGTTTTCGCAAAAGTAAATTAAAAAAAATCTAAAACAGCAAGGAACGATAGAAATTACGCAAATGAATACAGACAATTGTGGTAAATATCTTATAAAATCAGAGTTTAAAGAAATATCATCTCCAAAAAATATCTAAATAGAATATTTTAAGAGAAAAAGCTGTAAACATTGATTGTATTGTCATATTAACCTTCTGTTAAACGTTAACTACCGTTACCAAAATATTGCAGTAGTTTTCATAGAAATTTTTCTAAAACTTGATGTTTTAAATAAATCTATTATATCTGGCAAATTTTTAGTTGTATTTTTACTGTTTAGAAGTACAAAGAAAACAACGATCTTGTGTAATACAAATATAAAGAAAAAAAAATTTTGTTTACAATAGTCTAACAAATAAACAAAAAGAATCTATATACTTTGCTTACAAAAAAAAAGAAAATTATACTTAAATACAAAGAAAACACACACACATTGAGACATAATAAATAGAAATAAAGCATAATAATAACAAACACACAATACACACCAATTCATTATGTAATCAAACATTAAAACAGATAAAAACCAATCAAAACGGTATGAACTTTATCAAACATACATAAATTTCATTTTTCTATCAAAAACAGCATCTGAAATTTTTCTTCTACAAAACTGTTTGATTGTACAAGAATTTGATAGAAATGTTTATTAAGCCTCTTGAAACATTACAAATTTGGCGAACACAGTCAGTCTTTGAAGAAAAAAAATTCGAATGTTTTTTTGATTATTCTGAGTTCTCCATGTCTGAACAAATGTAAAAAATTAAGATTCTTAAAATGAATCACAATTCAAAGAATAAAATCACACCAACGATCAATATATTTGAATTTTTCCATGATTTTGATGTTTTGTCACCAATAAGCGTTTATCGTATTTCTTTAATACTTCTTGTATGAGTCTTTGTGCATGTTGTACCTCTTCTTTTGTACCTTTAATTACTAACGTTCGATCACTACTTCTGTTGCCTTCATTTGGTAACAAAATAGAAACATTAGCACCCGATTCTATTTTAATTTGTTTCAAACGACTGGAACCTGGACCATAGATAGCGCCCGCTTCTCGATCTCGAATCATTAAACGTTGTACTTCAATTTTTTTACCACGATGTCGACGATAAAAATCTTCATTCCAATTACTTGTTAACATTTTTGTTTCTCCTGCTTCATTGTTCTGTTGTATTTCATATTGACTCTTGATATCATTATGATTTGAGTCGATATTTAATCGTAGTTGATAGTGTTTTTCTTGTTCATAATTAACATAACCACCATAATCTCGTACCAATTCAATTAAATAATTTTTTGGATGATAAAGTCGAATTTGTTTTTCATCCTCTTCATTCAATGGTGTCTCATCCATATTAAAATAAATTTCATTTAAACAACTCAATATTTGTTCATGTTTAATACCAATAATAAGTAAAATACGTTCCGTTGATTTTGGACAACAAGTTGGATAAACTTGAAAGGTTTGTAATGAATATTTTTCTTTTAACATTCGAGAACGTGATCCCAATGAACCAACAATAAATGGACCGTAACTCTGATGAATTAAAACTCGAACCTAAAATATAGTGATAGTTAATAAATTAACTCCAAAATCATAATTTTTGCTTGAAAACTGATAACTCTCGTACTAACTTACTTCAAATTTATTGATGATTGATAATGCATTACGCAATTGACTAACTGTCTTTGACATGAGAATACTTTCTGGACTATTGTGATGTGAAATGATCTTATATTCAGGATAATTCAATAATTTTGTACTATCATTATTCGTTATTAATAAACGACAATAATTTAAGTCCGATATTGAATATTTATTGTCGTCATCATCTTCTTCTTCTTCTTCGATTTCATTGTCGTTTTGATTAGGATGTGAGATGACACGTGCTGTTGAATCTCTTCTGAAAATAATATCATTCGCAATATTGTTGTTATTATACTGATCATTAACATATTCGTCATCTAAAATTCAAAATAAAAATGAAGTATGTAACAAATTTTTTATCTAATATTAATTTCGTTAACACTAGTCGAAAAGAGAAGACAAAAATATAAACGATTATCAATTGCTTGAAGGAATAGATGAAGTAGATGGCATTATTGTGAATGTTCGGTATTATCTTGTTAAAACAAATAGATAAAATCTCAAACATTGTCGTAGTGAAGCCAAGTCTAAAGTTATGCAAAAACGAGGAATCTGTAGATCACTAGTCAGTTTGTCTGTCAAGTATTCTCTTGAAAAATAAATGTCTCCGAGTTTCTTCTAAACAAAGAAATAGCAGTATATACTCTATTCGAAAATATATGAAAAAATTTCAGGATGGACTTGTATATTCTTTACAATAAAACTTACTCAATGATACTTCATCGAAGTGACTGTACATTTTAGATTCTTCTTCTACAGACTCTTGTTCTTCATGTTGATTATCATTTGTCACTGTTGTTTGAGTTAAATTGACTTTTTCTAATGTTAATTGTCCAACAATATTTACATGTTCATAATCAAGTTTAAATGATAGACATTCTAATTCTTTAATATTTTGTTGTAAATCATTTAATTTTTGTTTAATTTGTTCAATTTTATTTGATGTATCATCTGTAATTTCATCAAGTTGTGTTTGTATTCGATCATTAAGAATATTTTCAATTGTTTGACGGTAACAATCAAGTTGATCATATGATGTATCTAATTCAATTAATGTTTGTATATGCATCGTTTTTATTGTATTAATCATTCGTGTTTTCCATTCAGTAAGATCTTGTCGAATAATAAAATAATTTTTATCTAATGGTAATGAGTTAAGAATGGATTTTGAACGCTGTAAACGTTCTATTAACTTTTCGACTTCTTTCATGTCGTTTTATGCAATATGCAGTCTTCAAAATAAAAGATGCAAATACAATGAGATGTACGTTTTTTACATACTAAAAGAACGAAAGAAAAGAAAAAGTAAATAATGAACATGAAATACTTTTTGTTTATAATTGACGTAAATAAATAGACTTTTTGATAGCTACTTCGCCAGGTTACGAGGTGTTCGAAAAATTAACATAAAGAGAAGATTTGCTCAGAATAACAGGCCTTTTTGTATACGTATTTCAATGTACTTTCGTCTAGCACGAAACATGGGTGGATTAGAAAAGATTAATAAATTTTTAAAACTTAGTTTTGTAAAAAAAAGTGTAGAAAACAATTCGGTAAAAAAAAATTTTCTTCGTTGAGGAAAGTCAACAAGAATTTTTTAAAAATGGGTAAACTATCTGCTAATACGAATGAGACACATACAGTTTAATAATAGCCTTTTCAGTTTGAACGATGCATCTAATTTTTTGTTGATTTTCTATAACATTTCTGAATATAACATTGAGTTACAATCAGAAATGTCACTTAAGTGAATTTTGATCGTTCTTGATGAATATTTAAAAATCTTAGCATGTACAATGCCACAAATTGGACTCAAATATTAGGAGTTTGTGAAACTGAATATGTTTCCAAGATAGTACGATTCAACTAAAGATAGTCGATGAAGTAAAATCGCTTGAGGTACTGTGAAAAAAACTAATTTTTTTAATAAAGTTTTGCAAAATAACAGCTAGATTTTCAAGTAATCGAGGGGTATGGGAGTTCATACCCTTCCAATATTGATGTCCCTAAGCATGCCTAGACATTCTGGAGTTCATTTAGTTCTGAAAATTTCATCATGCAGCTTATGCGTTTCATAACACTCGTAATTTTTTTGGTGGCAAACTTAAACAATCCAAACATTTCATGATCTCATCCGGTTGTTTAATCATAGTTGTATGATGTCTATTTTTATCTTGTAAGTTCAACATTTTATCTGTAACTTTACTGATAATTCATTCTCATATCTCGCGATAAAATAAACAAATTTTACTACAATTTTTAGCAGTTAAAAAAATGTCCCATGGAGCAATGTAAATCAAGATAATGCTGAAAGATGTGTTTTGCAAAGTTTAGTTTGAGACAAATCTGAGTTTATGACTTTAGTTCAACTTAATTTTTTAAGACATGTCTTGACCTGCTTCACAAAACATGACTTAAGTTCAAGAGTTTATCTTAAAATTTTTTGTAAAACATATCCTAGATGTAGTGTCTCGTAGCGTAATCGCTTTGTGTACCATAGTAATTAAGGAGAGGAGATATTCACAATCTCCTCCACCATGGTGATCTTGATAGGAAATGTATATTCCAAAAGAAGCAATTTAACATTTCCATTGTTCTAGAAAATTGTTCATGGTTTAATTTCAGTATAAATTAATTTATGTAGTCAAAGAAATGAAAAGACATTTTACTTATTTGGGCGATAGTGAAAGCGCTCTGGAACAAGAAAATTCTCAGTTTTCTCAAATGTTGATTCATATATTGATAAAATATGCATAGATTTTCATAATTTGAATGGCACTGTTGTTGTACTTCAAAATGAAAGATCTTTTAGAGATAGATAATATCAAAATTTGTCCTATGTTTCTCTATATAAATGATAGATACTATGTTAGTAAGCCAGTAGAATGCTAATACAATCGAATCAATAAAACAACATTAGATCAATCGTCACTGATTAAGTTAACATTAATTAAAAAATAGGAGATCACAAACCGTTTAAAATGAATTTCATATTGAAACTTTAGCGAAAAAATAAATTCAACTATCAACTATTATTATTTACTTCTTTTGAAATAGTACGAGAAAGGAAGGGAAATGCTTGATTACATCAAAACAGTAACACACAAAATACAATTAAAAGGCATACTGTCATACAAACAAAAGAACATGCGATGTAGAAATATTATCAGTGAAACTTGTTTTCATAGCTTAGACAGGATCTTGTTTCGAAACTCTTACCTATCTCGTTTGAAACTAAGCTTTGCAAGCATTCAAAAAAATCAAGCATTTTCTATACTCCTTTCATTTACAATTGTGTAAATTATTTTAAAAATTGAAATTCAGATGAGTTCTGGTTATTTAGCGTGTATACAACAGAATATTCATAGATGCAACTAAAGAACATATGAAAAAAAGAAAAAATCAAACTTTCTCTGTAAACGCGTGTTTTTCTTTTCATTCTCTCACTTTGTCTATTGTTTTACTCTAAAACAGACGATAGATGTAGATTGTTTGTGTACGTGAGAATGACAAAAGATTTGATGATAAGATGCTTCATGACTTTATTGTTTTTAATAAAAGCTATTTACTTTTAAAATAGTCGAATGATTAAAATTATTATTAATTACTCTTATCATATGAGTAATTATCATATGAATATTAAAAATACTTTAGTTGATATGGAATAGGTTTTCACGATACGACGAAATCGTTAAACACTGTTTATCTAAATTTATGCATAAATGATACTAAAATTTTGTTACCGTTCTTCGCTTTGTAGTGCATTGATAAAATTACCATTACAAATTTGTAGCTGTGTTCCATCGGTTCCATCTACATTCAATGTTCTCGTACCAATATATCTCTTCTTATTGTATTATAAATAGCGGTACGAACAAGTTGTTCTATACGAGCATCAATCATTCCACCTGTTCCACAAATAATTCTTTCCACGTTAACATCAGCAACTAAAATATTGTTCTGTAACAATCATTTTATATAAATATCAAAAATTTTTATACAATTTTCACTTATTTTGTACCGGTGAAAAATACAGGACAACATTTTAGCTGTTGATGTTAATGTGGAAAGAATCATTTGTGGAACAGATGGAATGACTGGTTGAGGTCAATAATGATGCACAGTGGGGAATCACATGGACATATGGAAAATTTTCGAAAGTGGGCTTCAAATGCAGCCTCATATACTTTCGGACATGCTCTGTTTAATGGCATAAAAATAACTATTTTCAAATCTTATGATTCATCGAAAATACCTACGAGAAAATCTAAGGATATGTACCCCCTTCACTTTCATTCATTCATACGTCAATCGATAGAGGATATTGAAGCTGTAAAAAGGTAAAAAGGATTCGGACCGATGGCTTTTCTTTCAAAAGTTATGGGGATTTTTCTGTTTTTCCCAGCAAAAAATAGCAAAAGTAGCAAAATTCATATTTCCGTCCAGAAAAATAATTAAGAGCTCAAATATTTTTCTATGGCTCTTCCATATATCTGGGTTATTCATAAAACGTTTCACCTTTACAACTCACTCCATTTCTGAGTTATTGAATTTTAAGTTTCCTACAGATTAGCCCTTTGACAGGCTCACAAATATAATGGACAGTTAGCACAAATTTTTTTGAATCATCGACAGATTTTTAACTTGATAAAGTAACAACCAAAAACTGTTAAAAACACGTTTCTAGTTGTTATAGACAGAGATAGAGAGCGACGCGAGAACAGGTGTTTTAGATGAAAAACTCCTTGAACTCAACTTATAATTTTGAGTTTGGAGTTAAATGTAAAAAACACTTTAACTTTTTATTGCTTGCTTAGAGTATTGGTCTTAATGCCATAGAAAACAAGATGTTGCGACGCGTTTCGTTTTATTT